AAGACAAATTCCTTGTGTATATTTTATACTTGGTCATTAAAGTATTTGTATTGTATTGTATTGCTGTATTAAATCAAATCAAATCCTTATTACAGCTATAAGGCCAACAGCCAGATACAGACAAAAACAAGTAAAAATGAATATACTTACACACACACACACAGAGTGAGAGAGAGAGAGAGAGAGAGAGAAGTCAATACCATTTTTTCAAATGCAAGAAGAAATGGATGGTGCCAGTAGAGACACAAAGTTGGGCAACCCAGGAGGAATTATCCAAATTCAGAAAGGAGACGTGACAACTAGAAATCATGTTCTCTGCCAAGGAATTTCTTCAGGATATGATAGTCAAAATTTGTCTGGGATTCCCTGTACTGTAGAGAGAGCAAGAAATGAACATATGGCGGAAGAACTCTTCAGAAACGTCCCCATCAGCAGGTCTGCAAACTTTCTTGAACAATGTGGAACAGGGTGTGAAGAGCTGGAGGAGGAAGGAGAAATCAAACGAAGTAGACCTCTCATTTTCACTGTATAATTTTAATGCATGATTCAGTTCAAACCCCAAAGGGCCATCCATTTTATACATGCTGCAGTGCCATGACTCAATGGCACTTCTCTTCCCCATTGTTTTACTTACAGTACAGAAGCTTGGACAATCCATCTTAGGAGGTTGCATGACTACCTATCTATTTGGTGATACCTGATGCCTCTCTCCCATATGCTGGTCAAAGCTACCAGGTAATTTAACAATCCTAAGCACGCAACACAAAAGTGTATCTTGTATAATTATAGGTAGTATTCAGAAACTGATTGTTCTAATCTGTTTTCTACAATTAGAAATCTACCAGCTGTAATTGAGTTGTGTTCAGTGGAACTCTTGAAATGACTTCCATCTGATCGAATCCCTGAGAGTAGCCAGTCTGAGGGCCTAAGGGAAAGCAAAGCCAACTCAGAGAGAAGGAAACATTTCTTTGATCAGAATTGCCCTCCCTTAGAATGGGCAAGGGGACGCGGTGGCGCAGCGGCTTAATGACGCTGAAAGTTGCCGCCCAGAAATGGTCGACACTTCAGCGGTTCGAGTCCAGCCTTCGCGTTAGCAGGGTGAGCTCCTGTTTCCTCCCCAGTTCCTGTAAACCCAACAGTTCAAAAACTCACGTGAGTAGAGGGGACTCTCACTCCGGTGAGAGGAAAAATGCTGGCGCGGCGACTTGCAAAAAAGGAGTCGGGAGCAGTTGCCAGTAAGTGCGAAAAACCATGCGTGTGAAAAGGGCGCAAAGCAACGGAAACCCCGCCTCCTGCAAGTGCCAGCTGGGCTCTGCTCTAGGAAGGAGGCTCTGGCAAACCACTTCCGAAACAATTGCC